CATAAAAACCTAATAAACAGTGAGTAAAATAATACTGGACACACTGGTAAAAATGACACATGCATAAAATATTGTAATAATCGTCAATGTAATACCTATAATAAAAATGTATCAATAGTATGCCCACTAATGTAGACCACACCCTATAGAGGTCTCTGCAGAAGTACATACTATATGGTCCAACATACGTATATTGATGGTAATTGAGTTATTAGCTAGGTATTTATTAAATTGAAATGTTTATTATACACAGCTTCAATGAAAACACATGAAATAAGGCATAAAATGTAATAATAATAGTAATAATAATAATAATAATACCTGACCAACCCATAAAATAATTCTGTGGCTTGGTGCAAGGGTCAATGTCTCATTTTGACAAAATTTTGACCAATGTCATTAAAATTTGCTCATGTTACTTGTGTTAAAAGAGCAAATGTATCTTATGCTGTATGACCAAATTAGATTTGACATTATGCTGAATGGAATATTATTATAATAAAAATGTTGAAATGTTTTCATAAGAAAGTGTTTATTTTAAATTTTACTGTTTGGCCAATGTCAAACCAAAGTAATTTTATTATTGTTTGTGGGTGACCAATCTGAAACTAAAACGTACATATTAATATAATTATTAATTAAGTAGTATTATAATTGAAGATTGAATTCCTGAACATTGACAAAAATATGACATTGGCCCTTCGTGCAGCAAGCCACATAAATATATTTAATATGAAGATAAAAAACTTAAAGGTATTGGTGAATGTATACAACTGTCCTAAATGAACATATACAATCCACCAATATAATCATTATATCATACACATTTAATATACATAAAATAAAATTATATTTTAAGTATATTATACAGTATATAATTTATTTGCACGTTTAAATTTTATTAATTAAATAATTATAAGCATGTTTATATCGGTAAGTGTAGTGTAAGGTTAAGACTCACTTTTTAGTTTCGTCTTGGTCATGAACCTCCAATGTCACCCAGTCATGTCCCTTGTATATGTACTTGTAGATATACATGACGCTCTTTATGGACGTGCAGATCTCGACGTTGATGTGCGCGTCGTACTTGACCAGAAGGTAAGAATTGTAAGGCACTACACACCCGTTACCGACCGCATGACCTCTCACAAGTACCACTCGGACGTCGTCCGGTCGGCGGTACTTTGGATAACCGCCTTCGCCGACGTACAGTCTCCTCTGAGTACGCTTTCGGGAAATCTTTCGAACAACTGTTGTTCACCATGCACGGACACTCCGGGTTGATTCTTCCACACGGTCCGTGTATCATGTGGGACTTCACGCAGTCGTGTAAGCGCCTGTCGGTCTCCGGGTCCGGCAAGAAGGCGCAAACCACGTCGTCGACGTCCGCCGCCGTGCGAAACTTATAATCCTCCTCCAGGATTACAAGTATGTGCGCATGGGGCAGTCCGCGTTTCTGAAACTCGATAGTATATACGTAAGCGGCTACATTACCAAACACACGAGTAACAGTTAGGTCACCTAGTAGCTCCTGTAGTTTCATGTTAAACACCCTGGCCACCAGTTCGGGCCTGTCATTTGGGAGGCTGTGAGCCGCCTGGTTTTCCTTGATCTCCGGCCACCTTGGATTGCACGTAAACGTTATGAATAGGTCGGGCTTCCTTTTGCTACGGACCATGGCCATAGCGTCTTGATAACACATCTTGTTGTATCGGTCGCTGCCCACGAACGTCGACGGCAAAATGACCCTACGGCCGACCGCCATAGGATCGATGATGAGGCGTTCGTTCACATGGTCCACGAGCCCTTGATACGCTTCGGTAAGGAGATCCCTCTGATTCTCACGTATGTAGTTCAGATTGTTGGTTTCCATCTGAACGTATTGGTCGCACACAAACATGTGCAACAAGGACCGGCCTTGATGTATTGAGCTGAACAGTAGGTGCCTCGTGTCGTTGTTTCCCTCATATCGAATGCCCAAACGGTAGCACGCGAACTCTCTTATAGTGTTTCGACTGCGGACATTGTTTCGTCGAGGGCCCTCTTGCAACATCCCGTTATGCCAACCGGCCTCGCCGTACGGGAAAAACAGTGGATATAACATGGGATCCGAGTGACAAGACCCTTGAGAAATATAATGAATTTTAAGTTAAACCAAAGGTTGTAGTAGTAGCTGAGAGTTAGTTAATGGAGATACGTTTGTGTTGTGTGTACACAATGTGTAGAACCGCCAAAGTAAAGTATGAAATAATGTGTAGAAAATATTGACTCTGAGATCGGCTATAATATCGTAAGTGCTATTAGTTATTAATTAAGTATATTATATACTGTGAAATCAAAATTATTTATATCTATTTATTATTTATTATTATGATTGTGTTGTGTGTATAGCAAGTACCTACATAATGTTGTGTAGAACAACAAAATACCGGTAAATATAATTAGGAGGAAAATTGATGAGACATGTGATAGGTATTATGCCTATCCACGTCGTTTTGAATTGATAATAATGTAATGGCTTGTTTCACAACAACACAATGAATTTACACTGTTAATTTAATAAGTATTACTATGTATCTCGGTTTCTAGCTAATTAATGAGTGAATATGTATGCGTGGTCGGATATTTACGGTACAATTAAAACCATGATTCTATATGATGGGATGTAATTTAACTGTGAATTATGAATTTATTGTTATGATTCTTTTGTGCGTATAGCATGTACATAATGTTTTGTAGAACCGCAAAAGAAAGGTAATTTATAAAATAATCTAAAATATGAACTTTAAGGTGGGCTAATTTCTATACCAAGTGATAATAATTCTAACCGATGATAATTATGAAATAAGAGAACAGTGAATTAAGCATTGAAGTAATGTGATGTGAGTTGTACACTAAATGTATAACAATGCAATGGCTTTTGTCTTATTACAGTCGAAGTCGGTTTCGAATTGGTCAAAATGTATAATTTAGTAAAGCTATGATTCTATATGATGGGACGTAATTGTAACTGTAAATATGGTAAGTGTTAAATATTTATTAACTAACCCGTTCGTATGAATTGCGTCCTGTTTTGCTGGCCGATCGGATTGGTGTCGTAGACAACCAGATCGATCTTTCTGGGAGGAAGACCACCTTCACCTACGAACACGGCCGCAACTTCATTTGCGGTAGGCAGGTTGTTTCGGCCCCTATCCCGGCCCGCATCTTCAACGAAATGCAATCGGACCGGTCTAGGTGGCACAGCTGCGGGATCGGCCCGGGCTCTTTCTGCCTGCCACACCTGACGCATGTCCCTGAAACGAATATGGCCATGAATATATTTATATATTATAAACACTCTCCATGATGTGTACAAATAATTGTAGGTACAAAGGAGAATAAATCATCTTACCTAAAATGTATTAAACAACGGTAATTGGTGTTTTAATTGTAGTGTAGGATTTGTTTATTAAAATATAATGTAGGTATGTAACCATGATAGTATGTAAATATTGTTCAGTGCATTTATCTCTATATAAAGTAAAATATAAAAACATCCGAGCATCCAATCCATATAACTCTATATGTTGGTAGCGGTGAGTTATTATAATCTATAATATTCTATAATAAAGGTATCTTATAAATATTTGTGTGCCCGTGTGTAGGTGTAATAAGCGTAGAGAATCACATTCTATGTGTATAAAATGTATTATTAAATGTACCCCAAGATAGTTTTACTTCAAAGTTGCATAAATATGTTAAGTCATAAACATGCGAACCCTATGTCGTATTTAATGTTATTTCATTAGTACCTTAGGTATCTCAAATAACTAATAAGGAGGAGTCAAAAGGAGAAGTTAAGAAAACTATTTGCTATGTATACGTTATTTTAAATCATTATTAAGTCTATTATATTGGTAAATGTTTTTTTTTTATCTACTGTAAGAGAGATATGTGTAAAATGTATTTACTCTAAGGGGAAATTCACACATTCGTCTAGTGTTCATTAATATAATAGTTTAAGTTTTCTTACATAAATGCCATTGCGTACGGATTGATGGCCCGCAGCAAACCGTCCAATAATCCCATCACGATTTCGGACAGTTCATGATTTCTTCGCCGTGCAACATCGAGTCGCCGGTGGTTGGCCTCTGCGGACTCTAAGAAATACAACTAACAGTTGTATGCACTTCCTGGGTCAACGGCCACCTCATTATTGGTCGTCCGATAGGTCTGACCGTGGACAATCCACACCGGCGGTCCCCGCCCTGGCAGACGCCTGTTGTTTGCGTCGCAGGTGAATGCAGCGAATGCCAGAGCGTTGTTGAACCCTCGAACGTTTTCTCGGAATCTACGACCATCCTGTGAATCCTCTGAAAACAAACATTGTATTTAGGGATTTGCCGATATCACTTTTAACCGATAACCGATAAACCGATATATGCAACCGATAAAAAACCGATAACCGATATATTCAAAACTTTGAATTTTTATCCAAATGCATGAACCGATATCATAAAATACCCGATAATACCTACCGATAACCGATAATGCTTACCGATAACCGATAATACTTACCGATAAGTACTAAGTATTAACTAGTATTACTAGCAAGTAGTATTATTATTATTTATTAAAATATATAATATATATTATATATTATAAAAATGACTAAATTAAACAAGTAATATATAATAAATAATAATTAATCATTTAATTATACAATTTAATATTTAACACAAATAGTTAACACAGTTGTACATAAATATTAAATATCTAAGTTAAAAATTTAAAATACTTAAAAATTAAAATGAACACTTTTCTTTTTTGTAGGTTGTTTATAAATTATTAAATTATAACTATAAGTATAATTTTAACTTTTTAATAAAACAAATAAAAATTATAATGAAAAACAAATTACATAATATTTAAAAAATAATAATTTTCCCTTTTCAGTCTTTAAACGTTACTTGTTTTAGTCTTTTTATAGCAATTAAAGTGTTTAATCTTTAATATAATCAAACATTTAAATTGTAATCTAAGTACTTCAAATTTTTTGAAAGAAATATTAAATTCCTTATTTTAGTAGGATTTAAAGCATTTCTAGATTTAGAACAAATAAACCCTGCCGTACTAAAAGCACGTTCTGAATCCACCGAGGTTGATGGGCTTGAATGGTATTTAGCCGCTAGCTTTTTTAATCCTATTAATTTAGATTTAGACCAATACTCATATATGTTTTCTTTCTCATCAATCAAATCTTCTGTTAAATATTTTTCAATTTCTGCTTCATTTGAATTGCACTGCATAGGTTCTCTGTGATCAGGCAATATATGACTAAATATGGACTTCTCTAATGGATGTTGATTAATTGTTACAACCTCTGACCCAATTTCAGGAGACACTGTAGAGGTGTCAGTAACATTTCTGTAAATTACATCAAGTTCCAATTTCAGATTATTTTGTAATTGAAATTTTTCATATTCTCCGGAAAATACTCTATCTTTAAATCTAGGATCTAAAATTGTACTGAGTAAAAGCAATTTATTTTGTTCATATTCACTAAACCTTTCATTCATTTTAGACAGTAGTTTTCAGCAATTTCACTTTTGTTAGATTTGTTGACATCTTTTTCCAAATATGTACTGACGCTTCTTAAAACTGGTATGACTTACGACAGTGATGAGGTTTTTTTAGATAACGTCAAAGTTACCAAATAAAATATTTCAAGAACTTTAGATATTTCATCTAATAAAACCCATTCTTCACTAGTCAAACTTACTTTCAGATGTATGTAAGGAGCTAAACCAATGACAGACTTTTTTCTCTAGAAACCTAGTAATCATAAGATAAGTACTGTTCCAGCGGGTTGTAACATCTTGAATAAATATTCGTTCAGGCAATTTTTCTTGTTTTTGATAGTTATTAAGTAATTTGTTAGCTGAAATGCTATGCTTAAAATGGCCAACTATTTGTCTAACTTTTTTTAATAATTCTTCATGATTTTTTTGCTTCCATAACACATCAGTTATTACCTGAAAATTAAAATAATAATATCATAAATAATTAATAAGTTATATATCATATAATTGAATTAATATTTTTCAAAAAAAGAAAAAATACAATATATTAGTGCTCAGGTATTTTTTATTAAATTATTTTTCGGTTGTCCTTTCACAATTTTTTCCTATACATACATCTAAATATCTAATATATGTATACTATATAAAAAAAATAGAAAATATTTTACCAGTTGAAGTGAATGAGAAAAACAGCCAAAACTAAAGAAATCTCTGTTACTAAAAGCCTTCACCATATTTGGAGTGTTGTATCGTAAAAAAACATGGATTTGTTTTTCTTTAATTCCCCACTTTTCCAATGTTTCAATAGTAAATGTATAAATATCTTCACCCAGATGATACATGGGCTTAAAAGGAATGACTTCTAATAATATATTCTCTCTGATAAAATTGTTGTCTGAGTTGTCTATAAAGTGGCAAGTTAATGACAGATAATCTGTATTATTGTTTGAAGACCATAGATCCGTTGTAAATGATGCAAACTCCATATTTTTTATGATTTCACAAATTTTCTGAGATACCTTCAAATACAATTTAGGAATAATATTTCTTGAAAATGTTGTCCGATCAGGTATGGTGTAACGAGGTTCTAAGAACTTAACTAAGTTTTTGAAACCTAAAATTTAAATTTAAATTATTGGAAAAAATGTAATTGCAAACCATGGTTTAAAGTTTAAAGTTTACAACTTAAATCATAGTAAAGTAAAATTAAGGGTAAACCAAACTAAGATATCACCTTGTTTTTCAACGTGATGAAAAGGCAACTGGTCTTTAGCTATCATTTTGGCAATTAAATCAGTAATATGTAAGGCTTTTGAGCTATTATATGCTAATGGAGCTTTGCTTTCAAACATGGAACTTATTGTAGGCTGATGGAATTTTGTCTTATGATTGTTGAATTTTGTTTTGCAAAGAACTTGGCTTAGGTCTACTTCTTGACATACTTTAGATGTTTGTACAACAGCTAAATCTACTTCTTCCTACAAAAGTAATTAATAATTAAAAATTAATAATTATACATTAACTACCTATTATTATTTATTACATATCAAATTACAAGTACCAAGTTTCGTTCAGAACCATTATATTATGTACCTATAACTATATCCAGTAATTAATCGTTATTACTAATAAGTAATAATTAATTAAAATATATTAAATAATAATTAATATGTATTCACTGAATTAATGATAAATATTTAATTTAAATAGGTGAAGTATAGCTTAAGTTGATGACTAGGGTGGTCGACCCAAAATAGTTGGGAGGGAGTAGGACGGGTGCAACCGAAAGAAAATAATTTAAATTTTAAAATATAAAAGAAGTTTACATTATTTTAAATTTTAATCATAAGTACATACCTCTGAACCAGTTTCTGAATCACTTTTAGGTAGAACTTTTCTTTTCTTCTTGTTATCGTTAACTTTCATGAACTCATTTTTATGCTCTTGCATAAGATCCGACTTTAAGTTTTGAGGTGTAAAAGTCCGGGAATTACGTCCACCCCTAGATATTTTCTTGTTGCAAATAGAACATTGTGCCTTAGACAAATCATCAGGGCACTTCGTAAAAAATTTCCATACTACAGAAGGCATGTTCGTTTTTACTTTTTTTACTTTTTAGTTTTTACTTTTAACTTAATAGTTTTATATTTATTATGTAGTCTAAGTCTTAATACTTCATACATAACAGTTAACTTAACATGAATACAATATGATAAATGATAATATATTAAAATGATATTAAACAAGCTTATCAGCCAAGCAAATTTGTTGGTAATTACTAATTATTGAAAAACAAAGATGAAATATGTTTTCTTTTCTAAGGAATATACTAGTAATTGCACAGCAAGCTGCTATTCTTACATAACATGATAACATCAATATGGTTATAAATACGTTTAGTGTTAACAGTTATAACCGCGCGCAGAGTTGATAATATTAGATTATAGTGATTATACATTATTATAATGATAAATTGTTGTTGTTTTTTTTTATATCGGTTCAAATATCGGTTTTAAAAAAAACCGATACCGATAAAACCGATATTGCCAATATCGGTCGATAATCGATATCGGTTTGTATATCGGCCGAGCCTAAATGTATTAAATAAGGGACGGGGAACAATGCGTGTTGTCCTGCAGCGATCATTTGGCCGTTGTTACAACACGTGGAGAAGTGTACATTAACACCTAGGCCCACTTCCTCGTCTCGGAAGTGGCGGGCATTACAATCTCTACATACTCTGTCCAACGCGCCCACGTGGTGACGCTCTGGAAGCGGGTGTGTCACGCCCGCACGCCGGTTAATCATTGGCGCACACCCTATGGGTAGTTCGACCACTACCACATACTCAATCACCTCTTCCGGGAAGTCGTCCTCCACCACTTCCTCCACCCCGTCGTTGACCACTTCCACGTACTAAACCAATTCCACGTTCTCTACCACTTCCACTTCCCCATTACCCTCCACCTGACCGTTGACCACTTCCATGTCCACCATCCGGACCTCCTCTCCATCCACGTCCTCTCTCTGGACCTCCACTCATTCCACTACGTACATCTGGACCACCACTCCTTCCACGCCCTCCTCTCCATCCGCGTCATCACCAAGTACCTAAAAGTTAGGTTGAGTTTAGAGTAGGTACAATATTAAGGTATTTATAATTCTAAATAATTAAATATATAATATTATGTTTGTGCATTGAACGTCAAAATACATACTCAAAGAGAACTGCTGCACTAACGTATAAGTAACAACGTCTAATAAAAACCAACAGTAGAATGTATATTACTTCCACTCGACTGTATAAATCAAATAACAAAGAAACTCACAGAAGAATGTATAATTGGTTGCGCATTCATACATAGTTATAATCTTTCTAACAACAATAACGCTGAAACATTGTAAAAAAGTATTGCACTGTATAACAGTAAGTGTTATTTCTAAGAGTACTACATATCTAGTACTCAACTTACAAATGACCTAGGTCAGTTGTAAGTAATGGTAGCAGTAGTAGTAAGATGTAAGAAAATGTTTAAGTATTTCGTTCATTGGTTGTGTTGTGAATACCCATAAAAAAAGTTAAAATACGGTGAGTTGAACTTTTAATGGTTGTGTGTTCATACATAACAGTAAGTGTATGTACTCATATGCAATAAGTGTATTTATATGAAATTATTATATGATAAGTTGAATGTAAAGTTTATGTTACACCAATAAAATCATACATGGTCTTCAATGTGATAAAATAAAGTACGCCTATATCTATCACCACTATATATCAAATAACACACATAAGTAGTAAATAATATGTTACACTGTGTTACAAATAAAGTTAGTTGTATAAATAAAGTAAAGAAAGTGATGAACACAACGATAAAACACTTATCCAGTATCTACACAATTCACAAAAAAAGGAGAGTTTAGTAAAGAGTCTAGTAATACCTACTTTGTGTAGTAGTAACATTAAGAAAATGTTAATTTATGTAACAAAACGTGAAGTATCCTGTTTAGGTCAATATGCCCATAGTAAAAATTGATATATAAGTATAGTTGTAAGTTAACCTAGGTATCAAATTTAAGTCAATGTATGAGCTTGACCCAGCGTTTGTTATGCAACTGAAATCTGAAACAGTGGCAACACAATTGAATGTCGTTCAAGTTATTCTACAATTTGCTTTCTATACATACAATTATAATATAATAAGTTGAATGGAATTCTTATGATAAAATAGACATTTAGTTTTCAAGAATGTTGTACTGAGCCAGTACAGTTTTGTTAAGTATGAGTAGGTATAGCAGAGAAACCTAAGGTTTGTACAGAAACAATTTATATAATATGTATCTAAGATCACAGTGAATATTAACACGGAATAAACGTACACAAATCTATTGTATTAACTTTTGAAATAATATAAACATTTCTAAGAGTACCACATGTTAAATGATAAAATGCCTATCTAGTACACAACTTACAAATAAAGGAGAGTATACCTAGGTCAGTAGTAAGTAGTAGTATTATTTTTTTCATTGGTTGTAAATACCCAACAGAGATAACTGTGACTTACACTACCTATTTCGTAGGAGTGGATAATATACAGTTTATAATTTTAACAAAATGAATAAAAATAAAGTGTAATTTAATACAGAATTTTAACTTCCAACAATAAAAAGAAGAATATAGTAGTAAATATGTTACACTGTAGTACAAACAAAGTTAGTTGTATATATTGCTAACAATAAGACAATAGGTATGTGAAATGATAAAATACTTATCCAGTATACAATTCACAAAGAGTTATGTACAGAAACAATGTATATAATATGTATCTAAGAGCACAGTGAATAATTAAGCATGTAACAAATTTCAACCGTAGGTTAGACACTACTTATTGTCATTAGATGTTACCAATGATATCATTGGTACTTACAAATAAAGGAGAGTAGACCTAGGTACTAAGTAAGTAGTAGTACTTAGTAGTAGTAGTAATATTGAGAACTGTGTAAGAAAACGTTAAGTGTTCTGTTAAGGTCAATATACCCATAGTAAAAGTTGATATATTAGTATAGTTATAAGTTAATGTAGATATTAAAATAAGCTTGACCCAGTGTTTGATATGCAATTGAAACCTGAAACATCAGTAACACAATTGAATGTCGTTCTACAATTCTATTTCTATACAATTATAATATGCCAGTATAGTATAGTAGTATAGAAAAGTATAAGTAGGTCCAGAAACAATGTATATAATATGTATCTAAGAGCACAGTGAATAATGAAGCATGTAAGGAATTTAAACCATAGATTACACTACTCTTTGATAATTACATACTATGGAATAAAAGTAAACAAATTAAATTAAATTAGCACTGCAGACATTTTTGTCGAATGATAATTAAAAAGTGGGCTGCACTATTTACGGTGTACTGTAATGAAATGCTATTTATTGAACATATTATGATTTCTACACTCACCAAAGACGGCACTGCTGTGTGCCGCAGACGTCGGCGTTGTGCATTTCCTGCAGCGTAGTCAACACCGGGAACGAAATGCCTCGAACACAGCGTGGATGTGTTGGTCACACCAAAACCGCGGTCCACCAAAAAGGCCATCCACTGAACACGACACACGTCGTTTGTTGGAAATCTAAATGTGACATATTATTGATTTTATTACATTGCTATGCATCAACGTGATGAGTAAAATAATTGTAAATACCTGTGTACTGAAACGCCATCGACGTTGTCCACAATTCCGCATATAACGCAGCGTTTGACCATTTTGAATAGTCTATATGTGTTTAAAAGATAATAATGTTATGTTTAAAAGTTTGAACGTCTAGCAATCCATCACGAACATTGTAAATGGATACGATCTCCAGGATCTCTAGGCGTTTGTCGGCTGCTTTTGGTTGTCGAAATTGTTAAAAAGTGTAGAGTCGATATGTGTATTTGATTGTCTAGCTATCAGTCATAAAATCACCTCGGTAAGCATTATGCGAAGCGTATATTATCAGGTATGCACTCCACCTGCGGTGGATTGCGGACCCCGTTAGTTGCGTAGATAAGTGAATAATTAAAAATATAGTTTCTAGTTGGCCTATGAGACTCGCTGAATTAGGGGGTACCGATGTTGGAGACAATGTGGTGGGAATTATAAAATTCAGAAAGGTTGTAAGACGAAAGTTTAGGATTTGTGATAAGAATTAGTGATATGGATTTGAGATAAATCTTGACGCTTTGGCGGGAATGTTTAAAAGTTTGAGTGTCTAGCTATCAGTAA